GGGGGGGGGGGGGGGGGATGGTGTAAGAGGAACAAGTCAAAATGAGAAGCTTCACCCACTCTACGTCTTTCCCATCTGCCCATGCAGGCTACAAACTGTATCCCACTCGACCTCCTCCATCTCCCCCCAAGCAAAGGGACTGACTCTTCCAGGGGCACACAGTTCAATTTCCCAGATGGTGTCAACAGGCTTTTTAGCCACAGAAGAAACATCATTGTTAATCCCGATCTTTGGCCCCATTTCTGAGTAGGCAGCATCAGACTAGATTCAGTCTGCAGGATAGCTCTCCCAATTCCTTTATTCATTCATGGGGTGTGGCATCACTGACTATGCAGCATTTATTGCCCATCCCTAATTGCCCAGAGAGCTGTTACGAGTCAACCACATTGCTGAGAGTCTCGAGTCACATGTAGGCCAGACCAGGTAAGGATGGCAGTTTCCTTCTCTAAAGGACATTAGTGAACCACATGGCTTTTTCCAACAATCGACAATGGTTTCATGATCATCATCAGACTCTTAGTTCCAGATATTTATTGAATTCAAATTCCACCATCTGCCGTGGCGGGATTCGAACCCTGGCCCCCAGAACATTATCTGGGTCTCTGGATTAACAGTCCAGCGATAATACCACTAGACCATCGCCTCCCCAATTTCAGTACAAGTTCCCAGACGACAGTGAAGAGGACCTTACAGGGTCAACGGGGCAATGTGTAGCCTTGCTGTACCTGGTGCGTAGGTCAGTGCTGGGTGGCTCAGTGGTTTAAGGCCATGTCAGAATGCAGTTACAAGTCAACTATTGTAGTTCTAGAGTCACATAAATGCCAGACAGGGCAAGAACAGGAGATCATTACCTCCCCCATAAAAAAGGTTATGTAATTAATTAACCGGATTCAAATTTTCCAGCTCCATTGTGGGATTTGAACTGTTTCCATATTATTTGCCCAGGTTCCAGATTACTTATCTGGTAACATAGCCGTTATGCTATGGTATAATGGGGGTCAGTTAACACACATGGCTGAATGGTTGGTTTTTGACGCAGGGTGGGTTCAATTTCCACACCTGAAGTTACCATGATGGTCCCACCTTCTCAACTTGAGGCGTGGTGATGCTCAGGTTAAACTCACCACCAGCTGTCTCTTTTTCTCTCTCTAATCAGTGAGCAGCCCTATCGTCTTCTGGAACTATGTTGGCTTTACCTTTTTTTCACTACGGTACTCAATATGTTTTATTCTGAGCTGCACTCACCAACTTGCCAAAGTTGACAGCATCTTCTAAAACCATGACCACTACCACCGAGAAGGACAAAGGCAGCAGATTCTTGGGAGTACAACCACCTGACAATTCCCCTTCACGTCTCTCACCATCCTAACTTGGAAATATATCACTATTCCTTCATTGTTGCTGGGTCAAAATTCTGGAACTCCTTTCCTAACTGTGGTTGTACCTATGCAACATGAACTGCACTGATTCAAGAAGGCAGGTCACCACCACTTTCTCAAAGGCAATTAGGGATGGGAAATAAATACTGGCCCAGCCAGAAATGACAACATGCCATGAGAAAATAAAAAGTTTTCTTCTGAAGGCAAGAACCCCAAGCTGATATTATGATTAAGCTGGAGAGGGTTCAGACGAGATTTACCGGGATGTTGCCAGGAATGGAGGATTTGAATTATAAGAAGAAGCTGGATAGGCTGGGATTTTTTTCACTGGAGCACAGGAGGTTGAGGGGTGACCTTACAGAGGTTTATAAAATCATGAGGGCTGTAAATAAGGTGAATGGCAGATGTCTTTTCCCCAGGGTGAGGGATTTTAAGACTAGAGGGCATATTTTTAAGGTGAAAGGAGAAAGATTTAGAAAAGACATGAGGGGCAACTTTCTTTACATAGAGTGGTTCAAGTATAGAATGAACTGACAGAGAAAGTAGTGGATGTGGGTACAGTTACAACAGTTAAAAGACATTTGGTAAGGACATTAATAAAGAATGTTTGGAGGGATATGGGCCAAATGTAGGCAGGTGGCACTACCTTAGTTTGGGATTATGTTCAGCATGGACTGTTGGACTGAAGGGTCGGTTTTCATGCTGCGTGACTCTATGACTCTATTCAATCTTTCTCAATAGCTGCAATTTCTCAATTCTGGTACCCTCCTCCTTAATCCTTTTTCACACTTTCTGTAGTGTTTGCATGCTCTATTCAATAGTCTGGTGTCCACTGTGATGCAGAATGCTCCAAATGCAGTCTGACTAGGTTTCAATACAAGTTTAACATAACTTTAGAATTCTATACACTTGAAAATAAACCCTCATCGTTTGGTAACATTTTAATTGCTTTGCTGACCTGAAATGATATATTTGAAGATCCCTTTGCTTTTTTACCCCATTCAGTTTATTTTCTAAAGCATAGTGATGGTTCTGTTTATCTTATGAAATGCATTATATTTATCTGGGTTATCTTGGTTTTAACTTGGGATCAGGCTGAATGGACCATAATAATCTTTTCCTTGTTCTCATGTTCATGAAGTAGGTGAACTGAAGGACATTGTTTAGGCTTCATAATGGTTTGGTGAGCCACTAAACCCATTCACGGTGCTTTGTATAATCCCAATGCATTAAACGGTACTAGCTCAGAAAAGATATCAAGGTTTTGCCAGGACTGCACAAAAATTAAACGCTCACTCCTTTCATCTTGTGAACATGGCTAGCTTTCACTCACCTTCGTACCCGCTCCACCATGTGTGCTACCAATTTGTCTGAAATACCTGGGCAGGATTCCTCTGCCAGGTTAAAAGCATTCTCTAGCTCTTCAATGGCACCCAGATTCCCACCGCTGACTTTGTGCTTCTCTTGTAGCTTCAGCAGAATAAACCAAAACATCATTAATGTGGATCATTTAGCCATTGACAAAAGACAAAACAGCATGCAGTCAATAACTTAGAGCCCCATGTTATAAGGCAGCCGATGTCCACTTATGTCTGTTCCAAGGATCAGAACCTACCACATGGAGAATCAGGGTGAAGGTTAATCTTCCTGACATCGCTCTGGGGCACAGCATATTGGTACAGACACCTGGTGCGCCAAACAGCTGCCTGGACAAGTTTAATTTGACAGTGATGTCAATGACACTTAAAAAAACATCCAGGAGGTGATTCTGGCAACTAAATAGAATAAGACAACGGATGTGAGAGAGTACTTGTCTATCTCCCTTTGACTTAAAAACAGAAAAGGCTAGAAATACAGAACAGGGTGACCACGTTGGAAAAAAAAGCACATTGGTGGTTGGATATCGTTTCTCAATAGCACTGCCTTCTCTTGAAGGGCAGGGACCGAGCTTCTTTTGGAAACCTTATTTCATAGCCAAGGGTGATCAATAGAAGAGATCAACCATCGCAGCACTGACTAACAACTGGAGTTAGCCTCCTGATATCTGTGCATCAGTAGTTTCTGTGCAAAGAGCTTTGTTTGAACATACTGAAAACCCAATAGAATGGGAATGGTGTACTAGAGTCTCTCTCTTTGCAAGCTGGTTATAAATCTAGGCCATGCTGATGGGATTGAGGGGAAAGAGCTGGTTAGAACAATGTTGAGGTATGAATGCAGCCAAAATGGCAGGATGAAAGCATGTTTTCTCTCAGCACGGTGCTCTCTCAAAATGGATAAACCACATTTTGTTATGTTCACCTTAGTAATTCTGTAGATTCTCACACAATATAAATATCTGAGCAGGGGAGCATGGATGACAGTGGGGAGGACTTAGTGATGTTAATGAAGATAGGAAACCACTCTCTCATATTAATTTCTGCTGATATTAATGGGAGAAAAACTACTTGTTACTCGCTTCTTCAAAGTCAGATAATATAAGCATTTTAACTGATGTATACAAGCAGGGACACACAAGCACATTCAGTCACAAAACTGTATTACCTCTCTGAACATGGGGTTGACCAGGGTTGTCAAGCACTTTGATTTTGGCTGTCTTTTCATGGGCTCCAAGGGCTTCATTGAAACAAAATACAAAAGAATAGTAAACAATCCAATAGACAATCTTTTTCATCTCTGACCTGAACCACTTTACTCCATCTGTTCGTCTCTGTACATGCCAAGGGTTAGTTTTCTCTTCCTTCTCCCTTCCTGTTACACTCACAGATGGTATACTGAGTAATGACACTTCCTGAACCAGTGGATCTTGTTATCTTACTTGGGGCTCCCTTGCTCATACAACCTACAGCTTTTTAGAACTCCACTTTGGCATCACTTAACTATTAGTGCTCTCATTAACCTTCCTCTCTGCACTCCTGACCTTGGTCATCACTCAGAACATACAAAATATCAAGAACAGACTTAATCGTACGGATTGTTCGCTTCAGTCAATTATAATTAGAAATTTGTTATTTGTTTTTAAAAATAATACTCTCCTCCCTCTGCAACCTCAAAACACTGACTTCTTGATGTGGCACCAAGTCTTTGAACATGTCGTTTCTCAAATCCATGCTGACCCTTTTCTGCACCTCAAGCCTCAGATTACACCATTCAGTTTTCCACTTCTAGCACAGCACTGAAATGGCTCTAGTCAAAGTCCCAAACGACCTCTCTGTGAGGATGGTACATTTTTGGATCATCTCCTGCTCTCCGTGGCCTTTTCTCTGATAAACACTATCATCCTCCTTTAGTGTTTCTCTTCTGTTGTTCTCCAACTTAGTGGGACAGTCCACATGTGGTTCTACTCTTATCTAACAGTAGCTAGAGCTTCTCCAACAACAGCCTCTTCCAGGGGCCCCAAAGCTCTATCCTTCCCCTCCCTCATTGACTTATTGTTCCTCAGCTGCGCCATCCAATGAAACATGGCCCATTTCCACATGCATGTTGGCAACATAAAGCTCTGTCACTCCATCACAACTCTTGACCTCTTGACATTGTGTTAATGGATCCCTCTTCCAGTATCCAGTCTTGATTGAGCTATGACTTCCACTAATAATTACTGATAAGATGGAAGCCAACACATTTGACTCCCAAAGCAAATTCGATCCTCTGACCACTGTTTCCAATCCTTCTCTCTGGTCATTGCTTCAGTTTAAACAGGACTGTTTGCAACCATGACATTTCATTCAAATATGACTCTATATCCTCTTCATTACCAAAACCACCTCTGTAACATTGATAGCCTTTGTCCTTCCCTTAAAGACAGCAGGTGAGCTTTAGCCTTGACAGTTCTAATGCTCTTCTGGCCTGGTCTATCCTACATACTCTCAAAATATTGGTACATGTAAAATTCTGCTGGAGTGCCAGTACCTTATCCTTCATCAAGCTCTACCCATCCTTGATCCATATCTTCACTAAGCTTCTGGTCTTTCAGAATTCCTTCATTGCCTTTCACTTCCACATTGTTACAACTTCTTGCAGGTCTGCAACATTCCCCCGCCAACTGAGACCTCTCCATTCCTCAGGCTCCCACGTCTTCTGTATTTCTCTTCCTTGTCGTGTCTATGCCTGGGCCCAATGCTCTGAAATTTCCACTCTTTCTAAGTTTTCCACCTTTCCTTTCCCCATTTACTACCATGTTTGAAACTCATTTCTTTGATCAAACCTTTATTACCCCTCTCAAAACGGCAGTCCTCTGGTGTATATTCATGTCAAAGCTTTTCTGTCATTTAATTGTGGGGAATTTTTCTACATTAAAAACTCTATGAATCATGTTAGTTTGCAAACAAGGTGCCCAGGTCCAGTGGCATTAACAAACACAAGTGTGAAGATGGAACTTGTGAAATTCTTTGAAGTACTTACGAGAAAGTATGGTCATGAAAAGGTGACTCATCCAACTGGATTGGAACAATTTTTTTCAGATACATTATTTTCATAGTACAACACATTCATTGGACAGGTTATTGTTTCTGGTACCCGGGCATAAGATATACAGGTAAGACAGGCAGGGAGGAATTCCCTCCTGACCCAGAGACTGTCTGATTCTCTCCAAAGGATTTGGTCGAGGGACTGAAGGTGAAATGTACTTCACTACCCTTCACACCATTGCAGCAACAGGAGAACTACAAGGCACATTATAGCATGCCATTACATTCTACCCCATAAGTCCTCAAAGAGTGCAGCATTGCTGGAAACTGCCTGAATTGTTTACTAAAAGAGTAATAGCGAGAGGGTGCTGGAAAGAAACAAGTACACAGACTCACCTTCTGAGAAGTTGGAACAGGCATTCCGTTCTGCAGCTTGCTTAAGGTGCTGGGACGTACAGTGGGGAAAGTCCAAACTGGGCACTGATCCCGTTCATCTGCATCAGCTTCCCTACAAACAGATAGTCAGGTTTCTGTGAACATCCTCTCATCTTCCCACAAAGGGCTTTCTAGCTCACATTTATACATTAGTTTCAGTATTTCCATTCACTCTCACAACTCTGTTTTCCCCCATCTCCTTCACTCTAAAGGAAGCTGCTCCTTAGTATTGAACAGTGGTCCTTGGCTAAGGTACCAACGACATGGGTAGGAAAGGAAGAGGTCCTGCAAGCAGAACCCAGGGGCTGTTCATAATCTATACCAATGATTTGAAGGTGGGCATCAAACGTAAAATTTCCAAATTTGCAGATGATATAAAACTATGCGAGAAAGTGTATTATGAGGAAGATGTAGAGTAGCTTCAGTAATATTTAGACAAGTCTTTGTGAATGGGCAAGAACATGGCAGATGGAATATAATGTGGAAAAATGTGACGTTATCCAGTTTGTAGGGAAGAACAGATGCACAGAGTATTTCTTGTCAATAAATCACTGAAAGCTAACAAGCTATTAAGAAAGCTCATGGAATGTTTGCCTTAATTGCAAGAGAATCAGAGTTCAGGAGTAGTGAAGTTTTGTTTCATTCTTATAGGAGCTTGGTTGCACTGCACCTACTCACCTGTGAGCAGTGTTGATTTCCTTATCGCAGGAAATATATCATTGCTATAGAGGAAGTGCAATGAAGGTTCACTAGACCTGTTCCGGGAATGGTGGGACTGTCCTTTGAAGAGAGAGACTGGGCAAACTGAGCCTGTACTTTCTAGAGTTTTGAAGAATAAGAGGTGATCTCACTGAAATCTACAAAATACTTAAATGATAGACGTTTCCTAGTTGGGGAGTTAAAATCAGGAGACACAGTTGAAAAATAAGGGTATGCCATTTAGAACTGGATGAGGAGAATTTCTTTACTCAGAGGATGGTGAATACTTGGAATTGTCTATCCCATCGGGCTGCAGAAGCTCAGTCATTGAGTATAGTTGAAATAGAGGTTGACAAAATTTTTGACGATCAATAACATAAAAGATTACAGAGATAGTGAGGATAAAAGATATTGAGGTGTTTTGTCAGCCACGATCTTGTTCAATGGTAGAGCAGTCTCGATGGACTGGATGACATTTATGGGCACTTTTAGAAATTTAAAGGTCAGATCACTGTTCTTGAATCATAAACACCATCAAGCTCCCAGGCTAAATTCTGGGTCAATGGAGAGCTGGCTAATGTTAGATTAAGCAGTGCTACATAAATGGCCACAGACACTGCTGCTGGGAAGGAATATCAAAACTAATTGCAAGCCTGATAGTTATTCATTTGTTGGTAGTGCAATTGTTGAAGATGGGACAATTATTTGTAATTTGTCTGTGATGCCTTTCTTAATTGGACAAGCCCTGCCAACACTCACTATCCATATAGAGAAGGAATGGATTCCTGGACACTGGAACTCCCCTTGAATCAGAAAAGACAATATCTTTTACTGGAGAGAGGGAGTAAAAGACATGAAGAAAATCATGAAAAAAGATGGTGTCCAGTGTTGCAATGCTAGTACTGGAATGAACATCAATCTATTAGACAGAGTAGTTCAGGAAACTTCTTGGTGGCTTCAACAGCACAGCTGGCTCCAGTGTTGCTAAAAGCATCTTTCCCTCCCTGATATTCTCACAAATTTCTTTCCCTCAACTTCCTCCCACTCCCCCTTTCCTAAAGCCAGTGTTTGTGTTCATTATCTCGTGAGACTCTTCTCAACTTGACAGGACCAAGAAACTAGCTAACCCATAGGATGGACAAGGGTGAACTCGGCAGCAAATATCACTGCACCAATCAACATCTTAAAAAAAAGGAGGCTTCATTTTATTTGGAAACCACTCTCTTTTGTGACCAATTATCACCCAGCTCAACTTCTGCAGAACAGGATGCTACGAAGAGACATTTCAGTTTTCAGCTCAACATTACATACAGTGGTGTCTTTACATATCAGGATGGCTACAGAACCAACTATACATTCACACTCACTGCATCCTTTACTCAAGAAATACCTAGGTAGAAAACTGTGTATATCATGAAAAATGGTTAGTATCTAGAATTTGGAAATGCAGGTGCACTGACTCTTAGAAAACCCTATGCTCCCTACATCCTTTGCTAGAGGATTATGGAAAGGAAAGACCCTGTGTCTACGATAGGAATAAGAAAAAAGTGAAGCTGCAGAAAGAATCGTCATGTTAAGAATGAAAAAGGAATTACTATTTGAGGGATCTGTACGAACATTCTCATAGCAAGGTCAGAGGAACTACTCAATAGTACAAATAGCTCAAGCTTCTCTTTTCTAGACAAAGAGAAGCAAGCTATTATTCAGTCTTTCCCAATAGTAGTAATCTCTCAATTCTGATACAATTCTTGCAAATCTATTTTGCAATCTCTCTGGTGTCTCTTTACACTGTATGCCTCTATAATACCAAATTGTGGACAATGCAAGGGTTTGACTAAGGATCTATACAAGTTTAACATAGTAGCTCCACTTTTCAGCTCAATTCCTTTAATGCGCATTCAGTACTTATTCGTCCTGTCAAACTGGCAATTAACTACTGAACTATCCCACTCCAATTCTACCATATTGTGGTCAGTCAGGGTGATGATGCCCCTATCCATTCACTCCAGGAACCAGGCATACTTACAGGTCCGAATCTTCAGAGCTAGACTCCTCACCATGACCCTCGGACTTCCAGCGCTTATAACGGTCGATCAATTCTGTTAGGTAGGAGGTCTTCTTTGTGTAGCGCTGGATATATTTGTGTTTCAGGAGCTCCTTTGCTGTTGGTCTCTAGAATTTGAAGAAACAGCTGCTGTGGTTATGTTTTACAGTTCCAGGGTACGTTTTTTGTTTCCTTATTTAAATATCACTTGCAACATTCTCTCTCCAACCCACTGGTTCCTCATTTTCTAGCCACACATTTTTCAAATCTCCTTGCTCTCTGTTCCTAAGAATGAATCTTTTGTAAATTTCTGTGTACTGTAACTCCACAACTTTACTGTTCTAAGTTTGATGGTACTTAGGATATACATCTTCGAACATATTCGTAAAGAGAACAGAAAGTACACAAAGGAAATTCTTCACTCAGGGCATTCCCCTTATCTTTAAAATACATGGGCATGCCATCAGACCCCTCTGCAGGGTCAATGAGGAACACTCTGACTCTTTCACTGAGAAGTTGGAAATGAAGTTTAACATGGTCCATTCCTTAAATAAGTATTGCCTGTTGTCAGGTGCTCCAAATAATCATAGCCTGGGGTCAAATGTTCTCAACTTTCAGGGTTTATCAAGATTTAGAGAGAAAAACCCAAGCATGGAATGACTGGCTCTCTTTCACATTTGTTTTATACTTGCGCCCTTTTCAAGAATGGCATCTAAAATTTCACAAATGTGAGATCAGATTCAAGACTTCTATGTACATTCATAAAAACCCATGCGTGTCTACTGCCATCTATGTCAAGCCGATACCACAATATTCATGATGTCAATGATCCTCTTGGATAAACCGAAGATTTTTTTTGCTTTCTAATTTTCTTAATTTGTGATACATCAATCTTAAGTCCTCTGACCAATCACATTCCAGGAAGAAAAAAAAGAACAGACAAACTCACCATTCCCTTGCCCACTGTACAATACACCTCTTAAATATTACATTTTTCACATGAATGAAACACTCATTTTGTTTCCACAAACCTTCTGGACATGCTTATAACCTAAATTTATTCACAGAAGCAGTAGATTCCTTCCCCCACCATAATAAACTGCCTCCTAACGGCTCCAGTATAAATACTCAACATGTATAAAATGGAAGCACAATAGGAAAAGGGAACGAGAAACAAGAAAAAAAGCAATTCCTTACTCCTGTGAGTGAGAGGGGAGGGTCATCCTGATATATGGATTACTGGGGTGAGTATTAGTTCTGATAAGTTTGGAGAGCTAAAGAGAGTTTGGGTGCAGTTCTGGCTCTGTTGAGAATCACCGTGACCAAACATATCTATTTTGTGTCTATTGCATTTCCAATTTCAACTGGGCTGCCATGTACCACAGTCATGGTTCATAAATAGCTTCCTTTTTTACAGAGATTTGCACAGCTCACAGTGGTTGACCTATGTGTTGTGCAGAACGTGCTTCACTTTCATAGGGCTTCAACTTTGGATCAGTAAGGAAGTTGCTCCTGAACTCTGTCACCACAGCTGAATGCTCTCTGATAATTAACTGCTACTGAAACAAAACCTAATTCACTTCTTAAATTTGCTTGTGTGGAACCTTATCGAATACCTTTTGGAAATCTCTACAGCCAACATCCATAGACACTACTCTAACACCTGGTGGTGATGTCTGCAAATTACATCCAGTAAATCAGTCAAATATGGCAAACCCTTAACAAAACAAAACAATACTTGTAACAAGGGAGAGAGATTGCAACCTCTGCCCTCTCACCTTAAATAAGGAAGCTTTGCAGCTTCTGGGATGCAAGTGATTGCCTTACTGTTAGTCCTCTATTTCTTGTCACCCCTTTGAACCCTGCACAGCATGTTAACAAACTAGGTTATGAGCTCTTAAACCACTCGTATAGAAAGTGAAGTATGAATTCTGCTCCCTTGGAACTCATGGCTATAGGAAGGATATTATTAAATTGGAGAGTGTGCAGAAAAGATTTACGAGGATGATGCCGGGGCTGGAGGGTTTGAGTTAAAAGGAGATGCTGGATAAGCTGGGACTTATTTCACAGGAGCGTAGGAGGTTGAGAGATGACCTTATTGAGGTTCATAAAATCATGAGGGGCATAGATAAGGCAAATAGCAAAGGTCTTTTCCATAGGGTAGGGGAGTTCAAAACAAGAGGGCATAATTTTAAGGAGAGAGGAGAAAGACTTTGAAGGGACCTGAAGGGCAGATTTTCCACACAGAAGGTGGTTCGTATCTGAAATGAACTGCCAGAGGATGTGGTACATGCAGATACAATTACCACATTTAAAAGACATTTGAGCAGGGACATGAATAGAAAGGTTTAGAGGGATATGGGCCAAACGCAGGCAAATGGGACTAGTTTAGCTTGGGAAACATGGTTGGCATGGACTGGTTGGGCTGAAGGGTCTGTTTCCATTATGTATGACACTATGACTAAATTCACTCTGATTCTCTTTGATCAATTGATACCACAACATGTCTCTGATGATAAATTCCAGAAAGAGTTCTACTACTGATGTTAAACAGGTTCTGTTCTCCTATCTTTCTTGAATACCGTGGTGAAATTTGAAATTTTCTATTCTGAAAGGCACAATTCCTAAATTTACTGAAGTTGGAAAATCATGACTAAAGCATCTTCAATCTCTTATCAACTTCTTCTAATAACCTTGGGGTAGGAACCATGGGCAGAATTTAATAGGGTAAGGGATATCCCTCCTGCTCCCAACTCGCTATGTGATACACTTGTTGTGAGCAAGCGACATTAATGGATTGTGGTACTTCTGCCCCTCAGTGGGTGGAGGTCCCATCCCCTGGAGCTGTTCCGGGAGTCCTGGCTGCAGAGAGCTCGGCAATGAGCGCTGCTGAGACTAAAACAAAACATCGCAGATTTAATACACATTCCCTTGTGCTACAGGAACTGCATCCTCTTCCTCCACTTTGAAAATGAATGGAATGGACTCATTTAACAAATCTACTATCTTCTTATAATCCGTTCATCTCATCTGGCTCTGTCTTTAATGGATCCGCATTTCCCTGTATCACTCTTCAACATATTTATACAATGTTTTCACACTGGCTTTTATATGCCTTTCACTTGCCATTTTTGTATCTTTTATTGATTTTATAGCTCTCTCAGTCTTCCATGTTTCTTTGCATTTGTGTAAGAGTTCTCACTTTGGACTTGATACTATGTTTCTTTACTCCATTTCATGGATCATGGTTCCTTAACTTGAGCCATTTATAAACAACAAATCAATGAGTAGATCTAGTAGTGCTGAACACTTAGCCATCTCTGGGAGCTACAATGGAATACTATGGTTGTCAGAAATCAAAAATTAAAAAAAAGAAAATGCTGAAAGAAACTCAGTGGTTTAGGCAGCATTCCACGTATGTAGAAAAACAGAGTTAATATGTTTCAGGTCTGTGAGCTTTCATCAGAACTGGAAAAAAGTTCGATGAATAGGTTTTGAGCAAAGGTTGGATCAGACAAGGTCAAAAGAAACTATGTGACAGGGTGGTAGGCAGCGGAGACTGAACAACAGGACCAATGAGAATAGAGATGGGGATAGAAAAGAATAAAGAGACAAAAGACGTACCTAGAGCAGGTGAGCTTCTAACTGAAAAAGAAAACAAAAACAAAGAAATGGAAACAAAATACAGGGCAGGGCGTATGGTCTGAAATTGTTAAACTCAATATTCAAACTAGAAGGCTGCAAAGTGCCCAATGAAAGATGCTGGCCTTGAAGGTAACTTGAGCCTCACTGGCACAGTGCAATTGTTAGGAGTAGTTCAGAATTAGAACAAACTGGATCTGCATTGAGCTCTTTGCAGCCTAAGGCACCTAAATGTTAAGATTCCCTCTTCAACATCACACATAGCTTGCACACAATTTGTAATTGCTGCCCTTAAGGTCATACAAGACATTGCAAACGATACAGACAAGTAGGAGCCATGCCAAAAAAGCTGGTGCACTGCAACATACCTCCACTGAGAGGGTGAAGGTCTCGGGTCGTGGTTTGATATGGAGCTTAAGGATCTCAGAAATAGATCTCTGTTCCTCATTCCTAGCCAATAACCTTTTCTGGAAAATGCATGTGCGTGGGAAAAGATGAGATGAGACTGGGCTGTTCCCACTATGATACTCTCTTGGGAAGGAACTAGAGGACTGTCATTAGTACTGACAGTCAATAGACAATCAAACATCAGTCAATAGAAGAAAGTAAAAAAAATTCAGAAAACTAACTTTCCAGTACTAAGCAAATCATACCATGATGAATATTCGCCTTTGAACTATCGCCTCACCCACCCCTCCACCTTACTTTCCTCATACAATCTGCAGCCTGTTTAAAGGTCATTCATTTAACAAATTTCATTGATATTCCACATTTTTACATGCAATATTCTGCAGATGATAAATCTGTCTTTCAATATTCCTTGTACTTTAAGGTAATAATGTGAATCTTCAGGTACATCTTTACTCATGTCCTCTGTTTAACATTTCCTGGTGTCAGTCCTAGATGCATAGTAACACTCAAAGTTGGAAGTTTGTGGGTTCATGTCCGATGGATCGCCACATGATCTAGGCGGAGACTTGTGTAATATTGGGAGAGTGTTGCATTGTTGGATGCTCCACCTTTCACACAGGATGTTAAACTGAGTTTATTTGAACAGTCTACTTCCTCAGGTCAATGTAAAGTACCTTCTGAAGTGCAGCAAACAATATCTCCCCATGTCTGAGCCAACATTGAAGTCTTGATGAATGGCACTAAACATTACCTTGCCACTTACTTCATTAGTGTACATTAGGGCTTGCTGTGAGCAAGTTGGCTTCACTCCACATGTAATTTACTGACTGTGGCAAGCTTTCAGATCCCTTGGCTATTTCCTGTTCCAAAACAGCAGCAACTGCACTGAAATTCTGGACTGTGCATTTAACTTGATACAAAGCAATATCTTCTACTTACGAATTTGGGATCCTTGTTTAGACACGCCTCGACAAACTCTTTGAAGGGCTTGCTGTGGTTTCCTTCCAGAGTTGGGGGGTTGTTCTTGGGAATCAGGAAAAGAACTCGCATAGGATGCAGCTCTGAATTAGGGGGTTCTCCCTTTGCTAATTCAATTGCAGTTATTCCAAGGGACCAGATATCTGCCTGAAAGTAAACAGAGAATGAGAAACTTTATCTCAATACAAGTGCCACATTTTCAAAAGAATTCCTGCATTTGCCTCCATTGCAAGTTAATCAGGATGTGAAGGATAGCATCAAATTGAAAGAGAAATAATAGAGTATGATAAAGTTAGTGGTCAAGCAGAAGATTGGGAAAGTTTTAAAAACCAACAAAAGAGAACCCATAATGAAAGAAAATAAAAATTTGAAGGCAAACTTGCAGATAATAAGACAAACAGCAAGAGCTTCTATAAATATATAAAAATTGAGGCAAAAGTGAACATAAGCACTTTAGAGAATGAGGCTGCAGAAATAATAATAAGGAAATCAGGAAATTTCAAGGGATAAATACTCTGTAACAGTCTTCACTATCGAAGACTTTAATAGAATTCCAAAAAATAAATAACCAAGGGTCAAAGGAGAGAGAGGAAATAAAAACAATAAATATCACGAGAGGAAAAAGTAAAGGGGCTAAAAGCCATTAAGTCCCCTCGATCTGGTGGTCTGCATCTTCAGACATTAAAGGAGACAGCTCAGAGATAGTGGATGCACTGGTAATAATCTTCCAAGAATCCTAATATTCTAGAAAAGCCCCAGAGGACTGGAAAACTGCCAATGTAACACCCTTATTCACAAAGGAAAGGAGACAAAAAAACATTCAGGTAACTATAGGCCAGTTAGCCCAACATCTGTTATTATGAAAATGTTAAGAGTCTATTATAAAAGGAGGTAACAGCAGAGCATTTAGAAATACTTAATATAATCAAGCAGACTCAGCATGGCTTCACGAAGGGGAAATCATGTCTGACAAATTAATTAGACTTCATTGAGTTAGTAACATGCAAGATGGACAAAGGGGAACCAGTTGATGTAATATGTTTAGATTTCCAGAAGGTATTTGATAAGGTACCACACATTAGACTACCGCATAACAGACCATGGTGTTGGAGGTTCTATATTAAGGTGGACAGCAGATTGCCTACTAATTGAAGACAGAGTTAGTATGAGGAGGGCATTTTCAGGATGGTAACCTGTAACTAGTGGAGTGCCACAGGGATCAGTATTGAAGCCTCATTTATTTACTATATATTGATGACTTGGATGAGAAAAATGAATGTACTATAGCCAAGTTCGCGATGACACAAAAATAGGAGGACAAAATGTGAGGTTAATGCTGACTTTACAGAAAAAGATGCAGATAGGTTAAATGAGTAGGCAACTTAGGACATGGAATATAATGTGGGGGGAAAAAAAATGAGGCGCTGCACTTTGGCGTGAAGAATACAGGAACTGAATATCACTTCAATGGGAAAGGACTGCAGAAAGCTACAATACAGGGGATTTGGGAGTCCTTGTGCTTAGATCACAAACAGATAGCATAGAGGTTCAGTAGGTAATAGAGAAGGCTAATGTAATGTTAGCCTTTATTTCAGAGGGAATGGAGTATGAAAATAGGGAAATATTGCCAAAACAATACAAGGTACTCGTTAGATCACACCTTGAATATTGAGAAGAGATTTGGTTCCCTTATCTAAGGAAACGCAGACTGGCATTAGAGCCAGTCCAAAGAAGGCTCACGTGGTTGATATGGATATGGAGGGACTTCTTACAAGGAGACGTTGAGGAGATTGGGCCTACGTACGTAGAACAGAAGAATGAGAGGTGACCTTATTGAAACATATTAAGTTCTAAGAAACATTTACAGGTGGATTTGGAGAGATTGTTTCCCTTGTGGGAGATTCTAGCACCATTGTGTATAATCTCAGAGTCAGGCATTATTCATTTAAGACAGAGATGAGGAGAAATTTCTTTTCTCGAGGAAGAGTGAATGTGTGGAATTCTTTACCTCAGAGGGAAATGAAGGCTGGATCATTTGTATATTCAAGGCTGAGGTACACACATTTTTAATCAGTAAGGGAATCAAGCATTATATGGAAAGCAGGAAAGTGGACTTAAGGATCATCACATCAGTCATTATCTCACTGAATGGTGGAGCAGACTCAAATCGGTCGAATGGCATACTTTTGCTCCTACATTTTATGGTCTTCTACAACACAAATCTGAAGTTAGCACAATAGTGTGGCTAGCTCTATCAGTTCATACATCTTGGTGAATGATTCAAACATTCAAAGTAACAATGCTAGAGCAGCAGGGAGAATTCTCACCACAAATTCACATTTTTTTGGCAAACCTGCTTATCAAAATATTAATGTATCTGTTTTTAAAACTGGTACTTTCTGTATTTTTAAAAATGATACCAGACTCTGAAAGTCAAGCAGGAACAGAATTGATTGAATGAATGGTTTCCTGTCGTCACATGTACTGAGATACAGTGAAAAGTGTTATTTTGCGTGCTATACAGGCAGGTCATACCATACAGAGTGCATCAAGGTAGCAGAACAGAGTGCAAAATACAGTGTTACAGCTGCAGGGGAGGTGCAGAAAGAGAGAGAGAGATCAGAATTAACATTTGAGAGGTCCATTCAACAGTCTGATAACAGTGCGGAAGAAGCTGTTCTTGAATCTATTTGTATGTGCATACAAACTTTTATATCTACTGCCCGAAGCAAGAGGGTGGAAGAGAATATATAAGGGATGGGAGGGATTTTTGATTATGTTGGTTGCTTTTCTGAGGCAACAGAAAGTATAGATGAAGTCAATGGATTGAAGGTTAGTTTGCATGATGGACTGGGCTGTGTTCATAACTCTCTGTACTTTCTTGTGGTCTAGGGAACAGCAGTTGTCAAGCCAAACTGTGATGCACCCATAGAACATAGAACATAGAACAGTACAGCACAGTACAGGCCCTCCGGCTCACAATGTTGTGCCGACCTATTATCCTACTAAGATCAATCTACCCTGCTTACCCTATATTTCACTATCCTCCATGTGCCTATCCAAGTGTCGCTTAGAAGTCTCTAAAGTATCTGACTCCACTACCACTGCCGGCAGCGCATTCCACACACCCACCACTCTCTGTGTAAAGAACCTACCTCTGACATCTCCCCTATACCTTCTTCCAATCACCTTAAAATTATGCGCCCTCGTAATAGTCATTTCCGCCCTGGGAAAAAGTCTCTGACTATCCATGCCTCTCATCATCTTGTACACAATTACCCAGATTGAACTCCAACTGCCATTCTCTGCCCATTTCTGCAAATGATCTATATCCTGCTGTATCTTTTGACAACCTTCTACACTATTCACAACTCCACCAATCTTTATGTCATCTGCAAACTTACTAACGCACACACCCACCCACGTTTTCATCCAATTTATTTACATATATCACAAACAGCAGAGGTCCTAGTTCAGATACCTGTGAATCACCAATACTCATGGACCTCCAGCCAGAAAAACATCCTTCCATCACTACCATTCTGCCTTAAATGGGCAAGCCAATTCTGAATTCAAGTGGCCAAGTCACCATGGATCCCATGAATCATAATCTTCTGGATGAGTTAGATGGGATGCTTTCTATGGTGCATCTGTAAGAACTGGCAAGTGTCCTCACTTGTGAGGAAGACCTCACAACAGTGCAGGATTTCAAATCTGCACACGTTGTCACATCACTCTGGCTTGCTGCTGTAACAAGTGCCGAGCAGTCATTACATTTCCACATCAGGTATAGATTTGTCAGGTACCAAGCTCAGTGCCACTCACTGATGCTCAGTGCATGCTGCTACTTTCAGACAGTAACTGCTGGTTGTGAAGAGTACTACTTTGTCACTATTCCTACTCGTTTCTACCTGTTGCTACCAGATGAATCTAAACTCTGGCCAGAAGCACTAGTGATTCTGTGACTAGGCCCACAGAACGTGAGTTCCTTGAGCTATTATTATTGTTCCTTTCTCATGACTTACAAAAAAAAACTTAGTAATTGTGAGGACGGCTTTCTTTAGTTTAGTGCTCCCACACTTTAGAGATAAATCATTTTGAAACTCCTGCCAGTTTCAATCAAATCCAAAAAAACAGTATAGGAAGGAACTTTTATTCTTACCCAGTTAAAATATCACATTACGAGTTAGATAGATTAACACTGTCACAGGGAATCGAAACAGTGAGAAACATCACACGTAGGCAGAGGAACGAAAATGTGAAAAACAGATAACAGAGAAAGCGTATGTGATAGTGAGTGAATCTCACCACAGATAGTCAAAAGGAGAGAGAAAGATAAAAGCTTGGATAAATGCATAAACAGGGTGAGGAGTGGTGAGATGAAAGAAACAGATACGTGCATGAACAGAAATGACATTTTTGGTCATTTATAAATAGGACATGTAAGCAGGCAGTTCGCAAATGAGAATTACAGAACATAAAAGTTAATAATTTGGCTTCAGAGCATTAGGATTTCAGTTCAATCGAGTTAGATTAAGCCCATGACCCATCGGTGAAGGGTCAGAGTTCCACTTGGTTGTTCCCATTATTCAAGAGATCAGAAGATTGCAAACAGCTCATTATACTGGGCTGACTCATTTCTGCAGAAAGAGCCTGTTTTAAGTAATCGGTTTGCTTTTATTCCAAAGCATAGGATTTACTTTTTGACACCAAACAGGCAAAAGGTGGACAAAGTAGGGAAGGTGAATGAATAGATTTGAATTAGGTTGTACAAGATCAATTATTATTTAGTACTGACAAATTTAATGATGAGACTGGGGAAGGGATTTAAATAGAAAAATACAAATTGCACTAGTATACAGACAAGAAATATGTCTGCGGCCACAGACTTCTGACCTAAAGTACAGCATGGATGAATGCTGAAGAAACTAAAGACAATCTTAACATGTATAGGCAGCAGGATAAGACAAATATTTCCGTGGAGTATCTTGGCACTTTTTCTTCAATTAATAGGGCCATAAAAGTTCTCGTAGTGGTAAGAGACAGTATCACTCAGGGAGTGATTCTCAATTTAGGAAGATTAATAGTGTGGAACCATACAATTTCAGTCAGTAAACTACAGACAGTCTATCTAAGAGTGACTAATT